AGCTCGGTGTCCCTGGGCATTAATCTTCAAAACGTTCGTGGGAGAATGCTGCTTTTCCTCACGCTCTTACAACTCCCTCACATATTTTCAACCATAACGACGAAATAAAATTAAACTCAAAACTCACTGCCATCGAGTCAATTCTGACTCACAGTGTCCCCCCAGGACACCGTAGAACTGCCCTGTGGTTTCCAAGACGAAATCTCTGAGAGTAGAAAGCCTCATCCCACAGAGCGGCTGGTGGTTTTAAACTGCTGGCTTGGTGGTTGGCAGTCCAGTGCTTAACCCACGATGCCACCAGGGCTCCTTACAATTAAACAAAAGTGGGTAAACTTTCCCCCCCATTTAATTTGTGTACTTAGAGAATTTATGCCCTTCGTCAGTTCTGAAAACCGAGCAACCGTGGTCTCCAGATGTTTATGTGCAGCCTCTTTTTCTTAACCGTGATTGGGCAGGTGTTAGACTGCCCACATGCTTCCGCTGTTTCTTGGTGATCATTTGAAATCTTAAAATCCAATGGCTCTCTCTTCTACTCTAATAAGTTCTGGAAGGAGCCAGTGAGTTTTTCTCAATGCCTGTACTCTTTGATTATGAAAGTTATTTGGATTATTTTAACTTTTTCTTTTACAATAGTCTATTCTTTGCTCATATGTTCCATTTGCCTTGTATTTCTTTGAACTTTTAAAATAAGTTTGTTTAATATTCCATCTCTAAAATGTCTTGGGTTTTTTGTATGTTTGTTATTGTTCTCATACACTTGGGCTCTGTGTGTGCACGGAGCAGGCCTGAGTTGAGGCTCTGCCCTGTGCGACAGCATGTGCTTTTGCCTGACACTCCATCTACGGTGTGATCCGACCAGGAACACTTTGAAGTTAATTCTTCAAACTGGGGGTTTCACATTTATTAGCAAAGATTTAGTTGCTAGAAAAGAAACCCAGAGCAAATAAAAATGGCTTACGTTTCTTGTATTAGTCTGGGCAAACATTTTTGTGACACTTTCCTGTTTCCTCATTCTGTGTTTGGGTTCGGCATCCGAGCCTTCTAGTTCTGTCCCCTCCTGTGTAGTTGGATGCAGCTGCTGTGTGGTGCTGGCTGGTGACAGGTGGGTGACCCTGGTGGAAAGAAAGCCCAGTGGTCACGTTTGCTAGGCGGCCTAATTGGGTCGGGCTGCTGCATAGCCAGTTCTTTGCATGGCCATTAGAGCCCACTGCTCACTTGCTCGGGTTCCATTCAAGTCTCCCTAGCAACCCTGTGGAAACAGTTCTCCCCTGGCCGCCTATTCCTTGGCCTCCCGTGGGACTGAGTGGACTGTGGGAGAGTACCTGGTGGGTTCAGACCTTTCAGTTAGTGTATTAGTCTGGGTACTTTGGAGAAACAAATCCACAGTGACTCATGTATAAGAGAGAATTTTATGTAAAGAAAAGGTGCATCACGAAAACATCCCAACCCAATGCTGCCCAAGCCCACAAGTCCAACATTAACCCATTAACCCATTAACCCAACACCAGTCCACGAAGTCCTCCACCTCACAAAACAGAGGCAATGATGCCGACTGTAGGAGGAAAGCTGAGTCAGTAAATGAATAAGCATCTCAGCACTAGCAGGGATCTCCACACGGCTGCTCCAGCACCCAGGGCTGCATCGGGATAGGTCCATGCGGCTTCTCCTTGGGGATGGGATGTCTTGTAGGAAGTCAATCTTGCAAGCTGAAGCAGGGAGCTGCTAAGGCAGCTGCATCCTAGTGCGACCATCACAAAACAAGAGACCCGAGAACTAGAAAGGCGAGGCTCCACCACCCATTTATCCCTCCGCCTTTCAACCAGCACCACATGTGATTATCGGCCAGGCTGGCACAATTAACTAACTCAGTTAGCGTGCGCCACCCCACCCCCACCCCCAAGCCCCTTCCTGTGCCCACAGTACTACTTCATCTGAGGAAGAATGTTTCTGGGTGCTCACTCCGTTTCCTTCTTTCCAGAAGTGGGTTTTTAGTGATCGTTTCGGAGTTTTGGTGACTCAGTAGTTTCTGGAAGGTGGGAGGAGACCAGGGCTAGGTCTGTCCCTCTCACCTCTCAGGGTTGTTGGGCAGGAGAGGGCACATTCTGGTCCGCATCTTTCACCATTGTTGTAACATTGTTCTTCTCCTTGGGATTCTCGTGTCTTGGCCCTGGTTCTAGATACTCTGTTTGAATAACTGTGTGCCGTCGTCCTCTCTTGACTGACCAGTATGCAGACACTGATGCTGTATGGCTAAGAGTTTTGCTGTAACAGATACATTTGCAGAAACGATTCATCCTTGTGTTGTGTTGCTTCCTGAGATTGAATTCCTAGGAACCGAGTGGCGATGTCACAGGTGCGGCACATCCACCTCTTGTGCAGCTTGCTGTTTTCTTCAGCGAGTTTATACCCACTCACACGCCGCCAGAAATGAATGAGTGTACCAATTTCTCTGTAGCCTCATTAGGATTTGATGGCAGTTTCATTTCTTTTTCTTCTTCTCTTTAAATAGCTATAAAATAATGTCTCATGGTTCCTTAAATATTTATATCTTTTATTATTATGGAGCTTTTATTGGTTTCCTATGGGTTATTTTACACTTGTTTTCTCATCTGCTACTTATATGCTCTTATCTTTGCTCGTTTAATGACCTCTGTATTTTTCTTTTCTTTTTTTTCCTGTATTTTTCTAGTACATACAAACTAGGATGTTTGTAAAAGAAAGTATTACTATGTATCTATATCTATATCTATATCTATATATCTATATCTATATCTATCTATATATATATAAGTTCTTTTTTTGTTGTTGTTTCTCATTAATTTTACTTTTATTTCTCATTAAAAAAATCATTTTATTAGGGGCTCATACAACTCTTATCACAATCCATACATGCATCAATTGTTTAAAGCACATTTATACATTCGTTACCCTCAGCATTCTCAAAACATTTGCTCTCCACTTAAGCCCCTGGCATCCCCCTCCCTCTGTGCTCCCCCCTCCCTCATGAACCTTTGATAATTTATAAATTATTATTTTGTCCTATCTTAAAC